CGGGGTGCACCGAGACAGTGATTGAGACTGGGCGTGGTGGTGCACACCTGTAATCCCAGCATTTGGGAGGCTGAAAACAGGAGAATCACTACGAGTCCAATCTACGTAGTGAAACCCTATAGACCCTGTACCCCATAAACCCTTTACTAAACATATATATAAAAGAATAAAGTTGACATCATTTGCTTTTTTCACTCTAAAGATGAATGCTGTAATTATGTTTAAGCCATAGGCCCTCCTTTCTTCCTATGTAATTGTGCACCTGTAACTTGAATTTGACAAAATATTACTTTTTCCAGTGTATTTAATTTACAAACCAGATCCTCATGTTGTGAATCTAAGAGAGCTACCTTGTCGTTCTCTTGGCATTGGGCTTCTTGCAAGGAAACAGAATGTAAGTCAGCCTTGGAAAGAAATCACAAGGGAGGATTTACCTGTTGTGGCCAGTAAGCCACAGTGGTTTTCCTTAATATTGGAGAAACTTTAAATTACCAAAGCAAATTAAAAGTAATTGTGCACATCCAGTAGGTGGTAAGAATGGCAGCAGTAGTCACCGTGCAGACTTCAGTAGCCACCACTGAAAGAAAATAGCTGTGCGCCATGATCTCTCCCGGCGGCAGCTCTCCTGGAAATGCTGGTTGGTCCCAGTTGCTTGTGACTTGTAATGCAGATGCAGAGGGCAGCTCTATAATTTTTTATATCTTCACTCTGCGGATGGAAAGAACTGCAGGAATAACTACAGTGCTGGAGTGATCTGAGGGTGGGAACGAGCTGCCTTTTCTGCTCTCTTAGTTAACATCCGTCCAGAGTGAGATGTAACAAAAATGAGGGGAAACGTTCTACTTTTTGATTCAGAACGTATTAAACAGACAAAATAGTAGTTCACAAAGTAAGAGACCGTGCTAAAAACCCATGTTTCTACTATGACTGTCATTGCCTTATTTCACCTCTCTGCTTTCATATCACTTTCTATAAAATGACAATAATGATAATTTATCAGTTTTTCTACCCAGAGATGTCAAATGGATGCTACAGTAAATGTTAAAGTACCTTGAGCCCCTTAAATAAAAGGTGCTATATTAATACATTAGAATCGAATTTAAGAAAAAGTAACATTCTTTCCCATAGATTTCTACTAATGCTGCATCATTCCAGAGGCAACTAAATGGTAGGAAATGGATAGCAAATATGGGTCCGTCTGTATACAGACTAGGTGACAAATGTAAATGTCACCTACATTTACATTTGTAGGTGTAAAATGAATAAAGTGAAAGCAATAATAAAAATTACTTGGGGAACATGATAAAGAGATGATTAAACTTATATTTGAACATAAAAGATTTTTCGTGGCTTGCTAAAACAAGGTTTATTAGGGCCTCGCGATCCAACTTATTCCTTTTGTATGGTATGCCAAGGTGGCACATGTTAATTTTATTTTGTCTTTTTCGTGATTCCCTTGACAACAGGCCTTGGAGAAAAAAATATTTGATGATGTATCTGCAGTAAGTCTCATAAGAAAACTAAATATAGTTCTCCTACCCAGTAAAAAAGTTGAGAGGGAAATACCTATAGAGGGTAAGGTTTCCTACCCACATTTACTTGGTTACTAGAAAGCAGAATTAATTTATTTTTCTACCTGAGAATGTGAAAAGTGGTTTGGACGTCATGTGTGTGAACTTTGTAGGGCAGGAGAAACTATTCCTGCTGTGCAGCAAACCATTCCAAAACTCAGAGACTTAAAACAACCACCCCTTATTTAGTTTACATTTCTAGGTTGTATCAGCTTGGGTGATTTTTCAGGCATAGGTTAAGCAAAGCTGGGCTTCTGGCCGCTGCTGCAGTGAGCAGGCTGCTGGCTGGGGGTGTGTTAGCCTGAGCTTCCTGCACGTTGTCCCTTGTCCTTCCACCCACCAACCTGGGTTGGTTATTGTGGTGTCAGGGCCTTGCCAGGGTAGGAGAAACCCTGCCAAGCTTCTGGAGGTGTAAGCACTGATTGGCACGCCTTCCTTCTATCACTTCTGTTGACCAAAGGAAATCACAAGGCCAGTGCACATTCAAGAGATGGTGAGCCATGCCCCCTTAGGAAGAGCTGCATAGTAGCATAGTGGGGTGGGTTTTGGCAGGGGAGATGAGGACTGTTTTGCCATGCAACTACCACAGGGACATTGTTTGGAACAAAATGGTGCAGAGAAGAGTTCCATTTGGAAACATTTATTGGGCACATTTCCCAGCCCCTGATAAATGAAGGGTTCCCTCTTTTATGATTGAATTCCTCCAGTAGGAGAGACATCCATGTTGTTATTTAACATCAAAATCTCTTCCAAAGTAAATGGAGATAATTCGGGAATTGGGTCTGTGGTACTACCGCTGTACTGTGTTTCACAGAAACCTGGAACATAGATACTTATAAAACTAAGAAAACTGGTGAGATGCTTTGGGTAGAGGCATACCAGTTGATAAGCAGATAAAAGACCTAGTGTTCAACTTTACTGTGATTCTACAAATATGTTTTATGTACTGGGAAAAGGGGTGACATGAGACAAGCACTGTCTTGGTGGATATGTGGAGTAGTGTAGACCTGTTTGCTCTCAGTGGTCTTGAAAGCATATGATTCCCCTAGTCCATCTGCTTTGGGACGCTGTGTGGAGCTCTGGGTGCAAAGGCACAGTCTGATTTGGGAGCTGGAATAAAGCTTTCAAGGCCCTGCATGCTCCCCTGGTGAGTCACCATTTCTATTTAGTGTACTTTTGATGTTTGGACCCTGGGGCACCCAGCAAGAGAAGACTGGGAGAGACAGGACAGTGCTCTGCTGCAGCTGCCCCAGAAGGCTGCTGGGAAAGGGTGTATGTGGACTTCCTGACACCCAGGGCAGGGCCTGTGATCCAGCTACTTTGCAACTACTAAAGCCTTGCCAGAGACGAGATGGGGCCTGCAATTGGAGGAGGCATGGGTAGGGTTGGGTAGGACCCAGCAGCCAGAAACAGGCACAAGTGAAGTCCAGGTAAGGCCAACCCCATAGGTGCAGGGCAGCCTCATCCACTGAAAACCCTGGACAATGCAGCCTTAGCAGCCCCAATTAGGTGCTGCCACTCTCGGCCAAACAGCCCATATTCCCACGGTTTGAACAAGAACAGAGATACTCTCCTGACCTCTGACTGACTGCCCTCCTAAGCCCCTCCACCATCACTTCTCTTGGTCCTCTTCATTTTTTTTTTTCTTCTTTCCTACTTGCTTCCCATTTAGGAAGCTGACACTCATGCTTGGCTAACACCTCTCTGCTTGATTCCCTTTAGTAAAATTGACATATAGGAATGCTTCCAAAATTTTTTTAAAAGTAAGATTTTTCATTTTAAAAGATTAAATGGTGAATTACTAGTCTTACATGTAACCTCATTGAAGCCAAGAAGCTGGTGGATTTACCTCCTCCCCTATGTAACAGAGATAACAGAAGCTTTGTAATCGACCCTGGTTCACAATTCAGCCCTGCCACTATGGGTTTACCTGGGACAGCTACCACACTTCTTAGCTTCGTTTCCCATGTGTCAAGTGGGGATAGTGGTATTAGCTTGTAGTGTGGGTGTACGAATGGCATAGGATAAGGTCCAGTCACACTCTGCAAGAGTTCCTAAAGACACAAGCAGGAGAGGTCCAAGTGTTACATTCCCCTTTCCCTCCAGCTCCAACAGCTGTCCCTTCCTGGACACAGAGACCCTCTCATTCATCATGTTCCCTTCTTGACTCAGACCACACGACTGTACCTGAGCTCTGCCACCCACCACAAGTGCTTCTTACCCTCCAAAAGTAGGTTGGAGGGAAGCAGCTTTTTAACAGCAGATTGGCAACTCCTTGGTGACTGACCCCAAAGCTGTCAACTGCTACCTACTTGGCCCGGAAGGTAGCAGCTTGGTTCAACTTAACTTTACATTGTACTGTCTTCAGACAAAATTGAAGTGGGCAGTGGAGGTCTTTCTCTTGTAGCCCAACAATCTGAGATTAGTGAGGAATTCCCAGGTGTGTGGGTTGAAAGGCTCTGTGTGCGTGTGTGTGCGCTTGCGTTTGTGTGGGTGTGGGTGCGTGCATGCACCCTCACTGGATATTCCCGGCACCTCTTTCAGTTTGGGAAGAATAATAAATGGGCCATCGGCTCAGCAGGCATGATGCTGGCACCCGTGCTGGAGGGTCTGAGTCCATCAGAGACTTCACCATGCCCCAGGGAAGACGCTTGGCTTCTCAGAACGCAAGGGCTGCACAGACCTGAAAGTTAAGAGGAAAACCACTTTCTCATGAGCCTCGCAGAGATTAACTTCTCCTGCAGAGACAGTAACACATCTGACTCTAAGAAGAAGAGGCAGGTTCATTTTTATTGGCT